GAGAGAGAGAGAGAAATTGAACTATATTCCACTTCAAAAGCAACAGATTGAATTTCAAGGTAGATGGGACCTTGAGAGTCTATCCTCTTGATCTATAGACATTCAGACTCATGGAATATCAGAGCTGGCAGGGATATTAAAGATCATCGAGTCAAATATACAAATGCCCAACAGGTACATGAAAAGGTGATCAACATCACTCATCATCAAGGAAGTGTAAATCAAAATCACGATGAAATATTACCTCATACCTGCTAGAATGGCTATTATAAAAAAGATAAAAGATGACAAGTGGTGGTGAGGGTGTGGAGAAAAGGGACCTCTTGTGTGTTGTTAGTGGGAATGTAAATTAGTATAGCAACTATGGAAAACAGCATGGAGGTTCTTCAAAAAATTAAAAGTAGAACTACCATATGGTCCAGAAATTGCATTTCTGGGTATTTATCGGAAGGAAATGAAATCACTGTCTTGAAGAGCTATCTGCACCTCCATGTTCACTGCAACATTATTCACAATAGCCAAGACATGGAAACAACTTAAGTGTCCATTGACAGATGGATGAAGAAAATATAGCATACACACACACACACACACACACATATATATATATTATATATATGCACACACACGTATCTATATAAAACTAAACATTCCACATTCACTGATACCTAACTAAACAGGACCTCAGATATCCAGAACTCCTTTGCTAATACTCCATTTCTATAAATGAGAGGTAGATCATAAGAAGATAAGCTAGATGTTTATTTTGACATCAAAAACCAGAACAGGGCTTGGATTGATCTCGTATCCTATATAACCTTGACCATTTCTAGTTTAGATTAATAATGCTACTGATTCAAATGATAACAATGGTCAAAAAAGATTCAGCATTAAACTCTACTTAAGAGCATCTCACAGTGGACTGCAGTTACTGTTATATTGTTGATAAAAAAATATAGCCACTCTCTGAGAAGTTTGTCCTTGGCAATGAACTGCTCAGTTTTGGGAGGGAGATGTCTGCAGTGAAAATGGAGATAAGGCCCTCTTGTCTAGATAACTGGGTCAGCTCAATCAACAATGGAGATTAGTGAGGGGGCATGTTGTAGCCAAACTGCTCATACCTCCTGAGCTCTTCTTACTAAGGCAAGAAAATGAATTCAGAGATTTAAACATAACTTTAACAGATAACCAGGAAGTCTTATTAACATCTAAATTACTGAGATTTAATGCACTAAGAGTCCAAACTGAGGTGCCTTGGAAAGAAAGAATTGAATCTAATAGCTGGGAAAGCTAACGTAAAATAACTAAGGCAGATGGACTGTTTCATTGTTTCCAGTGGGCTCCAGGCCACTGTGATCACTCCTGAAACCAAGGTGATCACCCTTGTAAAGCAAAGCTACTCACGGCAATGAGCTGGTAGGAGTTGTTCATCATGGCGATCAGCATGTTCAGCAGCACTACCAGGGAGATGACATTGTATGTCCCAAACATGGTTGCTCCCACAAACTCTGTGAACTCGTGTCTGGCTTTCACATTGGTGACATACAGATTTAAAAGGCCAAATACAGACCAGAAGAGTGACTGAAGGGTTTCAAAGAGCCTAAAAGGGAACAAATAGTAGGTTGATTAGTTATCTAGGAAGAGCCAGAAAAGAGCAAAAACGTGAGGGGACCTGCTTAATTAATAAGGAGACTGCCCAATTTGCATCCCAACAGATAGCCTGATGATCTCACATATTTTGGTCTCTTCCCCAACACAAACCAGCCAGGTCCGTTTGTTCGTTCCCACTTCTATGTCTTACATTTTGCCTTTCCATCTGGAATACTATCTCCCTCTTCTCAATCTACACAGAGCCTATGATCTTCCAAGACTTATTTCAAGGGCTACTTCTTCCACCAAACTTTCTCCTTCATCTTCAGACCATGTGATCTACCAACTTTCTAATTACATAGAGGCAGTAAGTGCAGTGGTTAAGAATATGGTGCTCAGATTAGATTGCCCTGGGTTAAAAACTCAGCTCTGACACTTGCCAGCTAAGTGAACATGAGCAACATACCGTTTCTGATACTTACTTTGTGATTCCCACAGGGCCCAGAATGGCGCTATGCTCAATGGAAGAGCTTAAGGATTCTTGAATTAACATTTCTTTTTTTTTAAGCTCTTTTTTTTTTTGTGGGTGGAGGTAATTAAGTTTATTTATTTTTTAGTGGAGGCACTGGGGATCAAACTCAGGACCTTGTGCATGTTAAGCATGCACTCTACCACTGAGCTATACCCTCCCACCTTGAATTAACATTCCTATGAATTATTTTTAATTGTATATTAGCTAACAATTATTGAGAACTTACTGTATAAGCATAGCAGGCACTTTAATGTACATTATCATTATGACCCTTAGAAAAACTTTATTGTTAATGCTGAGGAAACAGAGGTTGAGAGATTGAAGGACTTGCCCAAGGTCACCCAGCTATAGTGTTCAGACAGAATTCAAATCCAGGTTCTTCTGGCTTCCCCAAACTACTACATTATCCTGTATTAGATGGCTTCACGAATTACTGTTACCTCTCATAGTCTCCACATCTGAATATGTAACTTTTGCAATGATATGGTTTTGGTGTCCAAGGTTTCTTTTGCCTCATATCCAGAAATCTGTGCATACAGTAATAAAATACAGCCAGCTTCTGAGTGGTACAAATCACCCATTTTCCAAGCGTGTGGAAGAGGCACAGAAGTTAAGAAATGCTACTTTAAGAAGAGATGTACATTTTCAGTTACTCAAAATGTGTTATTTTTATAGCCCAGTGTATTTTGGGAGGCTTAGGGATTTGTTCTTGGGTTCATTGTGGGGGTATGGGAAATGTTATAAAGCTTGCCCTCTGTCTGGGAGTGGCCTTACCCCAGATCTTTGCATGGCTGTCTCCTTATCATCACTGAGGCCTCAGCTTGAATGTCACTTTCTCAGAGAGGCTCCCCTTGGTCACTCTACCTAAAGTAGGTTCACCAGTTATTCTCTATCCTGTTGTCTCATTTAATTTTTCGGTAGCACTTAAATTTCCCTAAAATTCTATTATTAAGTAATGTTTTGTTTAAATGTTTATTTTCTGTTCACCCTCACTAGAAAGTAAGCTCTATGAGGGAAGAGACAGACATACAGCTACTAAGACCCTGACACATAATAGGCACTCAACAATATTTGTTAAATACATGAACAAATACATATTACTATTCCTGTTATCATTGGATTAAGATCTAGAAGATTCCAATCCTGTTGACAATTGTGCATTCAGCATGCTGCACAGCAGGGGTCAGTAAATTTTGATGAAGGTTGTGCTCTGCACTGGCCTGATTCTCAGGCAGCCTCCTTTTGGGCTGCCTGGACAACATGCACATGGCCCTTTTCAACCTGTTAGATGGCTCTTCTTTAATCACTGTGGCTACCTTCCACTCTCTTCTCAGCATCAGATTACTTGAGATCTAGCCAAGAAGGAAGAAATCTTGTTTTCTGTTTGATGAAAGTAAGTGCCAGATGGTGAAGCATTTGAGCATCAACAGTAAGATGAGAGTCTGGACTTTGAGGGCCAGGGAACAAGAACCAGAATATGGCAAGTCAGACCTATCACAGGATCTGAATTTCCAGGAGACTCTACAAGCCAGGGCCAGGCAATACAATACATCACAGAGCCAGGCAGAGTGTCAAAAATGGGGAAGAAATGGGGTTCAGGAGCCTGGTTCTGCTAGGAACGTCTAGCTAGGACCTGGCAGTGCCCATTTGAAGTCAGGGCAGGCAGGAGGCCAGCAATGGCACAAACAGCTAGCCCAGCAGCTGTATAACAAAAGCTAGGCGATATATGGTTCAGAAAAACACAAAGCAGCTGCAGCAAATAGGAATGGCACGGAAGCACTAGGGGCTCTGGAAGTTTGAATATCCTTGAATACAGAAAGCGTTCATTAAGCGTTTGTTGATTGCAGAACAGATGACAAGGTCACAAGCCAGGGCAAGTGTGTCATCAATATGTTAGCAGGGTCTTACTTCATTGGTTAATTCTCCAGAACGGATGATGTTACAGTCTTTCACCCCCAGCCCCATAACAATTAAAATGGCAATGGTTACTGCTTGAGTGTAGAGTTTACTACTAGTTGTTTCAATGACTGATACAAAATTTCCCTAAAAGGGAAAGTGCAGGCACTTAAAATCTACCCTCATCTGTGGTGATATTCTAGTCAGGGAGATCCTAAAGGTATAACTGTACAAGAGATAAAAAAAAGGGGGGAAAGATTGTTCCGCAGTTTTGGTGGTTTATGGTGAGAATGCCCTAAGCGTGGAACACAAAATGTCATCACGTGGTCTGACCATTAAGAGAATCTGGCTTGTTGAAAGGCATGTCCAGATAAAATGAATCACTGACATTTGGGGTAGATAAGGACATTCTGGTGAGACATCTATAGAAGCTCTGTGGCTTCTAGATTCAGTTGAATTCACAGGGAAAGGGCCATTACCTAGGGGGACAATTACTTGGTGGTCAGGTCCATAATACAATCATCACAGGAATGGAAAGACTTGTCAACCAAACCCCAGAATCCTAATGCCAAAGGAATATTATTTTGACTTTAAAGGAGATGACTTTGGAGAAAATAATCAGTCCATTTTTATTTAATGGAGAGTAAACAAACATACGGAACTTGCTCATTCAAGAAGAGGCACAAGAAGATAAAAAATTCAAAAGGACTTGATATTAATTGTTGGTAAGACAAATCCACACCAGCTGGGTAAGGGGGAATTTATGCGTGTTGGGAGCCATCCATAGATAGATCACAAAGCCGAGAGGGGCTCAGTAGAATAGAGACAGGAATTATAGTTTCTTGACACTTGCTGAAAGTCTCATCTGTGAGATGACAAGTTAATCTTTCAAAAGGTAAAAGAAATATGAAGAAGATTTATCCCTCTGGACTTCATTCCTACCAGTGAAGAACTGGAAGATGTACTGGAAGAGAAAGGCTCCTTGGGAGACAGCAGTAATGGCAGCCTGTATTGTTCAAGCTGTGCTGATAACCCAAATGGAGCAAAGGCATGGCCATCTCTTTGGTCATCTCTACCCCTTTTGCAGTTCCCTGAACCTGCGATTTCTCATTTCACCATGCCTTTGACAAGCTTCGAAGTCTGGTTGGAATGCTTCCAGCCCACTGCCAACCTCCAGCCTCCATTTCCATCCTGTCTTCTCTGCCCAACTTTTATTTGACCTGCCAGGCTCAGCTGAAACCCTACCTTTAGAAGCCTCCCCTGACTCCTTTCCTGCAAGGTGGGATTAGATGCTCCTCTTTTGTCTTCCCATAGCACCCCAGCCTCACATATCACCCTGTAGGAGCAGTAGAGGGGAGTGGCTGAGAGCAAACTTTACTTATTAACGATATGACTTTGGGAAAGTTGCATAGCCTCTTTAAACTTCAAGTTTCCTCATCTCTAAAATGGTCATTGGTAGGATAAATACTAATAGCCAACATTCATTGTGCTCTCAGTGTGTGCCAGGCACTGTGCTACATGCTTTGCATGCATTGTAATATTTGATTCTCAAAATAACCCTATAAAGTAGCTACTATTATTCTTCTATTTTTTTTTTCAAATGAGAAACGGAGGCACAGAGTGGTCACACAGGCAGAAAGTGGCAGAGGTAGGATTTGCACCCAGCTCTTCTGACTCTGGAGTCCCAACGCTTACCACCTTTTTCTATCACATAAAGCATTGTGTGCAACACCCTCGCACAGTAATTGGCATACAGTAAGCATTAAAAATGGCAGCTACTCTAATTGTTTATGTGTGTTCTCCCTTAGACTATGAGCTTCTTGAGTATAAGGATGCCATTACTCAGTATCCTCATTGCCTGGCACATAGGACTTGCCAAATAAATATTGACTAAATCTATAGAAGATTACAGAAGCACGTAAATAAGGAGGAAGGCTATGAACTGAAACTGGGGGAAAAAGCTGAAGATACTCAATGAGGATATTAAAAACTGGTCAGAACAAAAAGAAGAGCCTTTGATGGGGACTGAGTTTGTATCCACATAAATAAGATGGGAAAATATGGGCTGAATGTTGGGTAGAGAAATCGCCACTGATTAAGTAAGAATAGGCACAAATGAATGATGATGGTCTACAAGGAGATCCCAAGTGACCTGCTAGGTCATGGCTTTATTCTATTTAGCTCTACATGTATTTATGATTGTTGCAACTTTACACAACTCATTTTACATAACTTTATACAATCTGCCTTACACCTGTACTCCTGGATAAAACCACAGGCTGGAACTTGTATGCCTGGATTGAAATCCTGACTCTGCCACTACTGTCTATGTGACTGGGAGCAGCCTGCTTAACTGCTTTGTACCCTAATTTCTCCATCTGTAAAATGGATAATAATAATAATAGTGCTTACCTCATAGCATGATTGTGAGGATTAAATGAGTTAATTCATGTAAAGCTCATTTTGTAATAGTATCTGGACTCAGCACTCAGCAAATATGTTATTTTTATGAGAATTATTAACCTTCCACCTACATATAGCCTTGTGTTGTTTTACATTTTTTTTGTCTTTATAGATTGTCA